TGGCCGCTGCCACTATGGCTGAGTCATGCTGAAGGGGGAATGGGCGGGAGGCTGTTTATCCCCGTGAGGGGCTCCGTGCTGTGCTGCCGCCCAGGGGGTTGGGGCACCCGGAGTTCCCCAGGATTCCCAGCTACTGGGCTGATTGCGCCAGGGCGCTTCCGTCCAGCTGTGAGGCCCTTGTCCCTTTAAGATTTTCAAAGGGCACTCACTTTTCTTTTGCCTCAGGGGCACTGGCTGCGGGGACCCACTCGCAGGTCTTACTGTCCTGTTTCCCTACTATCCAGTACACTACGCACTGCGTGTCTGCGCTCTGTTCCGGATGGCTGGGGCTGGGTATTCAGCAGTCCTGGGCTCCCTCTCCCTCCCCTCTCTGACTCCTCTCCTCCTGCTGGGTGCTGGGGTGAGGGGTGCTCAGGTACCCCCGGGCCATGGCTTGTATCTTACCACCTTTGTGAGGCACTGGGTTCTCACAGGTGTAGATATATTCTGGCTGTTGTTCTGTGTCTTCTGGTTGTTGTATTTTCAAAAATATGTATGGTTTTGGGAGGAGATTTCCGCTGCTCTACCCATGCCACCATCTTGGCTCTGCCCCTGTCTAGCATGTGTTTTAGAGGACTGAGGGATGTGTTGGTATGGCACTCTCTAGTACAAATGTAATGCAGGCCACATGGTAATTTTGTGTTTTCATGTAGCCAACTTAGAAAGTAAAAAGAAACCAATGAAATAAATTTTAGTATGTTTTATTTAACATCTAAAATATTGTCATTTTAACATGTAATCAATAAGAACATTGTTAATGAGATTTCACATTCTTTTTTTCCACACTGTCATTGAAATGTGTCTGTTTCAACTTATAGCACATCTCAATTCAGACACAAAATTTTCATCATAAATGTTTTATCTGTATTAGTTTTCATGAATTATAGTTGAAAAATAGATTTACATACCCAAATTGTTCTAAACATACCTAAAGATTTTCTAGCAACTAAACTCAAGTACAGAAATTTTTTTCCTTTAATATTTGTGTCCACATTTACAAAACTAGCTCATCTTTTTTAGAATAATTGATTTGACTTTGAATCAAAGACATACCTGTTTCAAAACTGTATCTAACTTAAATTTAAATTCACTAACTCACATTTAATTCAGAAGGTTATTGCAAAATTGAAAAGCATCTCTAAATCTATCAGTAGCAACAAAAAGTTCTTCAGTGTTTTCTTGTAGTTTTAGCCAATTTACATGTGCTGCTGATTTTAAAAAATATTTGTATTGATTCTTTTTAGAAAAATGTGTAAAATCAGTAGTTGTGTTATGAAAAATTTCCATTTCAATATAAATTCTCTTACCTATCAGCTAGTCACAAATATGCTTTTCCTTTGGAGCTTCAAATTTAGCTTACTATGTAGGAGGGATGTTGGTGAGAAGAGATAAATCACTACCATTTTTTGTCTTTGATTATTGAACATTTGGCAAGCATTCCTTTTGTTTCAAGAAAGTACTGAATTCAGGTTAACCATTTAGTATCTTTGTAACTCTAACAATGATTTAACCAATAAGCATTGGGAAAAAAACATAAGACCATTAAATCCGTTGTCTTCTACTTGTTTCAATAGTTCCACAAACTGACATAGCGTTTGCACATGTGCTCAAAAGTTTTAACAGCTATATCCATGACACTTTACATAATCTGCTGCAGAAAACTGAGTACAAATATTTCCAATATGTATTGTACAGTATAACAAAACAGTAAGAGGAACATTAATTAGCCTTTTTAAAAAAAATCGCAATAAATCTGTTTTTTGACCTAACAAAGCTGGAGCACCTCCTTCATTGTGATAAAAAATGATTTTTTTCATATCTAGCTGAAATTCATCTTAGGTACATAAAATACAAAAACAAACCACAGAATTGATGTTTTAGGCCTCAAGTTGACACTCTTTCTTAGTAAATTGGGAAGTCCTTTGAGACAAAACATTCCCAACATATTAATTGGACTCATGACTCATCTAAAAATTTTAAAAAGTACTAATAATTGTTCAAATTTTAAATCAGTTTATCTTTGATATTAATTATAAGAAAGGTCTTGTATTCACCCCTTGAGAAACCCCATCCCCATTTAGCAATTACTCTCTGGCCCCTCCCTGCCCTATGTTGCTACCCCATGCAACCCAACCTTTAGGCAACTACTAATCTATTTTCTGTCTTTGTTGATTTGCATATTCTGGACATGTCATAAAAATAGAATCATACAATATATGATCACTAGTGACTAGCTTCCTTTGCATAATGTTTTAAGGTTCACATAGCATGTGTCATATTATAGCATATATTCCTTTTTATGTCTGAATAATAGTCTAGTGTATGGATATACCAAATTTTCTTTTATCCTTTTCTCAGTTGATGAACATTTGGGTTGTTTTTACTTTTTGGCTCTTAACAAATAATGCTTCTATGTATGTTTGTTTACAAGTTTTTTATGTAAACATATGTTTTCACTTCTCTTGGATACTGGGTATAGAGTTGATGGGTCATACAGTAACACTAAATTTTAACACTTTGAAGAACTACCAATCTGCTTTTAAAAGTGTGCATTTTACATTTCTACCAGCAATGTATGAAGGTTCCAATTTTTCCACATGCTCACCAATACTTTCTATTGGCTTTTTAGTTTTAGCCACTCTAATGGGTATAAAGTGATATCTTGTAGTTTTGATGTGTTTCCGTAAGTTCAGCACCTTTTCAAATGCTTATTAGCCATTTGTATACCATTTTTGGAGAAATGCCTCTTAAGTCTTTTGCCCATTTTTAAATGATTTAAAAAATCTTTTTACTGTTCAGTTCTAAGAGTTCTTTATGTATTCTAGATATAATTTCTTTACCAGATTTGCAAATATTTTCTCCCATTCTGTGAATTTTTTTCTTTTCCTTGATGGTATCCTTGGAAGTGAAAGAATTTTTAAATTTTCTGAAGACCAATTAAATTGTTTTTTCTTTTGTTGATTGTGAACGAACAGCTTTTTCATTTTGTTCTGCAGCAAATTACAATTAACATTCATTAGGCAGTTTGTGACAGATGCCTTCTTTCAGTCTTTTTTCTTTACTGCTCCAGTAAAGTAAAGAAATTATTATTATCTCAGATGTTATCTCCACTGGGTTCTGTTAAAATCTGTCCATAATTATTTTTTAAACTAGAAAATGTTTCATTCTTATAATTAAAATAACAAATATTCAATTTAATTAAAAATTATGAGAGGTATCACCATAAACATGGTACCAGAGTAAACACATTACAGTGTTACATTGGTGTACAGGAAAGGAGGTCATTCTAGCTCAGTCAATCTGCTGACACTGACTAGACTAGTGGTGTGTTTTTATATAGTACTACAAACCACACGTGCTCCTAGCGCACGCTCGGCCTCTCTAATAATATGTTAATATGATGCTGTCAAGTGGAATGTAGTCTTAATAAAGTTGTGTTTAACAGAACAATATTATATATTGCTTAATTTTTTAAATTTTAATTAAAATTGAAATTAAAAGTTCTTCAGTTGCCATAGGCATACTTCAAGTGCTCATTAGCCACATATATATAGCTATTGTTTGCTGTATTAGACAGTTCAGTGTTAGTGTATCAGGATTGTTAAAAATAATGATACTGATTTGCTAGTTCTTTGAAGTTCTCAGAGTGCTGTAATATATTTCATTTACTTTTAACAGCAATCCTGTGAAGTAGACACTATGTCTGACAGATGAGAAAACAAATGCTGAGAGACTGACCTACTCAAATCACATGACTGGTGGTGTTAGTGGTGGTGTCAAGACTTGATCAGGAGTGTTAAACCTGTTGCCTTGTCCACTTATACCGTGAATTTTTCATATAGGTTCTTTGGTGATCTAAAAGTACTAGAAGGGAAAAAAGCAATATGCTTTGTTTGCTTATTCATTCAACAGGCATTTTTTCACTCCCTTCGATGCCCCATACTCTTCTAGGCCATGCGTTAGAGTGGAGAACAAGGCCAAGAAAGTTATGGTCTTAATGGATCTTACCTTCTAATTAAAGTGATAGTGAACAGATATGTACTATAATAGTAGGTAGTAGTGTGCTCTAATACCATTCTCTATGAGAACAAGTAGGAAATTGGGCTTAAATTTTAATTCATGTATAGGTTTTCAAACCCTTATTGGATTGATTTAATTTTTCTTAGCTAGCCTTTTTCTTTGAAGGTAGAGTTTTTCATAGGAAGTACACTATATGTATCTCTTCACAGGCAATGTAGAGAAGATGAAAGTCAGGCAGAAGAAGACGACTACAGGAGTTTGGATATGTCACCAAATTATAAAAGCCTGCTAATGGTACGGGGACTACATGACTAATTAATACTTCTTTATAAATAATAATCTTCTTGAAAAGTTAACTATATTTTTATGAAATGTGTGCAGTCATTACAGAATCAACTCAAGGAATCAAAATCCAAGATTGATGCACTTTTAAGTGAAAAACTGAATCTTCAAAAAGATTTGGAAGCCAGGTGAGAGAAACTTAAGTTATTTTCATTTAACCTTTGGAAAGTAAACACATCCTGAAATTTAAAATGTTGAATGAGTTGTTGTAGCCCCTTTACTCTGAAACTAATCTTGGGAACCTCATACTCTTTTGCTCATTTTAGTCGGTTGTCTCTTATGGAGTGGAAGGAACAAGAACGCATAGGTAGGCAAGGGAAGTGAGAAACCAGGAGTCCATCCTGAAGAAGATAAAACTGGGTAGGGACTCAGAGTAGGCTCGGTCTTAGGCCAGCAGATTTCCCATTCCCTAATTTGTTAAGAGTGTCGTACTATTTCTTCTTCTCCTTGTGTTGGGAGTGGAGAAGAAAGCTGCAAAGTTCAAATGGCACACAATAGAGAGATACATTTATATACAGCATACTATCACAAAAGGATGACACCCTGCATGTTGACAGTGAGTAGTAAGGAATGAGCATTATAGAGACTTTTATCCAATGAATATTTGTTGAATACCTATCATAAGTTAGACACTGTTCTAAGCTCTGGTATAATATAACGACCAAAATAAATACCTCATTCTCAGAAAACTTACACTTTAATGGGGAGGGGACTGATACCTACAGTATAAACAATTTTTATAAAATTTAAAAACCTGGATACACCACTGTTTGTTTTACTATATTCTTGTCTGTACATTTGAAATATTTCATTATAAAAAGAGGTAATAGATTAACAATAAAAAATGGATAAAAGGTTTTGTACAGAAAATACACAGAAGAGAAATCCAGTAGCCAGTAAACAACTCACTAGCAGCCATGAAATTTTTAAAGAATTTTAATAAGCATATTTTTGACAGGTAACAAGACATAATCTATTGTTTTATTAAATATCTTCATAGTTTATTCAATAAATTGAATATATTCAACATGATTTATTTTCTACAGGCCCACACAGCATGAATTAAGACTTTATAAACAACAAGTGAAGAAACTGGAGATTGCCCTTAAGAAAAGCACCAAGTAATTATATTTTACCAAAGTTACAAATTTATTAGGGTTTTGCATTTTGTTATTTTTATGACCTGTCAGCTTACTTCATGTTTGTCTCATAGTGAACTTGACTTAAAATTACCAGGCTGATGGGAAGAAATGACTTTAAAAAGAGACATTAAACTGATTCTATAGTTTAAAAACAATCTGTACTGTGTTGGATTTAGCTATAAATCTTTCAAAAGAACAAGAAAAAGTAGATGTAATAAAGGGCAAAAATTTTAACTAGACCAACTGTCTTGAAAGTAATGGAGTAATTGCAAGAGAATCATTGAAATTAGAGGTAACAAGCCCCAGTTTTGGTTGGTGGTAGTCATGACCTGGATAACATACAGCCTCGTCACAATTTAAAAGCACCAAAATGAAAGCTGTGAGCCATTCATATCCATCTTTGAAAAGCATGTACTTAGAAGAGTTTTCAAAAAAGCAGGTGAAGACTGATCTTCAACTAGTGGTGGTACTTTCTTAAGATTATGTATACTCTTTGATTCAAGGGAATGGGACCTGAGGAAGTAGTATGGGGAGCATTGGGATGAAATATTTTGAAAACTCTGAGTTGATATATGCATCAGATATATTAATTGTATTAGCACATGTTAAATCACTTTTCAATGACAGCTGTTTCCTCCTTCCTGTGGCAACACATGCTACAATGAAAGGCAAGAATTCTGGACATCCAGGAATTACATATTCAGTTAAATTAGGATAGTAGGGAAGGGAAATAAGAAGGAAAAGTAGGAAGTTTGGAAAGGCGGCATTCATTCATTTAATTAATATTTTTTCCCTTCCTATTATCGCTTGACATTTTGGGTACTTCCTGCTATTTGCTTTGTATTCTGCATACTGGAATTGTGGTACAACAAATAGGAAAACTCCTGGCCCTCATGGACATTACATGAAGGGAGAAGTATAATGAAAAATAAGACAATTTTGATATAGTTGTAAGTAGTAAGTGTAAACTAAGTGTGACATTAGCTGCTGTGTTAGTTTGGACAAGACGTGGTGGTGATGTGGTCAGAGGTGGCAGTGGATGAGGCAGTGAGAAGTGTTTGCAGTATTGAAGGCAAAACTGGTAGTATGTGGTGATGAACTGGATATCAGCAACTGAAAGGAAAAATCAAGACTCCTACATTTTAGGCTAAATAGTTAGTTGTGTATTAACTGAGATGGGAAAATTGATCAAGAAACAACTGGGAAAAGGAGGTTGTAGGGAGGTAAAAAGTCAGAGGAAAAGGTATAGGGGAGAAAAAACTTTTCCTCAGCCCTTTAGGGTCCCTGCTTGGGCCTGCAGACTAAACTGGCAGAGACAGATAAACATGAGAAAAGCATATATGTTTATTTAATGTAAGTTTTACATAATGTGGGCACCTTCATAAGGAAATGAAGGCTTGAAGAAACAGTTACGCTTGAGTGTTTTTCTACTAGGTTTAATGAAGAGTGGAAAGTTGTGGGAAAATGTGATAGGATAAAAGGGTATGAGCTAAGGGTAGGAAACTAGAGAAAACTTGAATTCTTGGTGTCCCTCTGTCTTCAGAGACAAAGATGCTTCTTTCCTCCAGGTACAGGGAGGGCACATGTCACATGAAGGTCAGTCTTTTGATCTGCTTCAGGAGATAGGGGAGAGGTCAGAGAGTCCTTCCTCTACCTGCCATTTCTTAATTCCTTGAGCTCAAAACATTTCCTATGTCAAAGTAGCATATTTTGGAGTAGCATATCCTGATCCCCTTCAAAGGAATCTTTTTGACTTCAGGGCAAGTATATTAGTGAAGATACACACATACATGCATGATCTTATATAAACACAGAGATAATATAGTCAGTCCTTGTTATTCACAGATTCTGTATTTCAATTTGCCTACCTGACAAATTTATTTTTAATCCCCAAATCAATACTTGGGGCACTTTTAGTTATTTGTGGACATGCTAAACACACTCATTAAGCAAGTTGATGCTCCACCCTCTTGTTTAGCTCTTACTGTAAACAAGCATCCTTTTTGTTGTCATAGTGCCACTTTTTTTATAATGCTTTTTATTTGTGATTTTTCTAAGACAGCCCCCAAGCATAGTGCTGAAGTGCTGTGTAGTACTCACGGGGCTGTGCCTTACAGAGAAAATACATGTGTTAAGTAAACTTTGTTTAGGCATGAGCTGCAGTGCTGTTAGCCATGAGCTCATTGTTAATGAATCAGCAATATTAAATAAGTTGTCATTAAATATCAGCACACATAAAACAAGGTTATGTGTTGATCAGTAGAGGAAAATGTGACCAGAGGTACGCAGGAAACTGGAACAGTGGTTCAGTCTTTGCTAATTCATTGTTTATAGTGACTTTATAGAATGTAACTACTGCAAATAATAAGAATTGGCTGAATTTATGTTTTTTGGTGTTTAGGCTCTGGTCTTTGGATTGACTTTTCACTATTAGACTGTAAATTATGATTCAGAACCAATCCATGCTGTATTTTTCTGCTGAATTTTGAAGAAATTACTTGTTTTTAGAAATTTAAGTTTGGAATAAAAAAAAAACTTTTTTTTAAAAAAAATGGAACTTTTATAGTGTTTAGATGTAGAAACAGAGAATTAAGAATGTTAAGTAACTTTCCCACATCACACAAATGGTATGTGGAAGAACTTGAAAAGAAATGAGACCTGTACCCAATCATTCTGACTCCAAAGTTCACACTCTTAACCACCACACCAGTAATTAGAACCAAACAAAATATCTAGTACTTTTTTTCAAGGTAAAAATTTTCAAATGTTTCTTTGTTGCAGTGGCAGAGGAAGATTATTTTTTCAAAGACCTACTTATATTGAGGAAATAATTAAATATAAAATCTGTCATCCCAGTGAGTCCTCTCCACGTAAAACAAAAGTTTTATTACTGAATTAAACATTCAGCCAGACTATGATGTCCGTTATAGGCAAACTGCTATAAAGATTGCAAAGACAGAAGGAAATCTCACTCTTTTATATAGCCAGGCAGATGCAACATGTTACATACATGTGAATTGTTTTTCTCCAAAGGAAAAATAAAACATCTTATATCTTTATGTCAGGCAGTTAAGTTACAACCTGGAGCCAGGGGCCTAGGCTGAACTCCAGCAAAGACAGGGAGACCAGGCACCTCCTTGATGTCCATGTTGCACAGAGATGATTCCAGGATCTACTAGTTGCATTGTTCACATGTGTTTTTTCCTAGGTAGGAGGAGTTAGAATAGCAGTAGTAGTCTAGCCTTCAGGAAGGGGAGAAGCTTTGCTAGTACCTAAGCAACTTCCCTTTCAGCTTTATTTTAAGAAAATTTAAGATGAGAAACTGTGCCCAGGGTTCCCTCCCTGACGCCCTCTCCCCCCCCACACACAAGCATTAGGTAGATTGGTTTGGGCAGGAGCTCCACTTCCATCTTTATGGTCTTGGCATTCTCAAGACATTTCTGCTTTGTTTGTGCATTTTTAATATGCCCCAAGTCAACCTCTAGGCATACTTAAGCTAACTTACCTCCCGAGAAACCAACGATTGTTAGTTCTATAGTTACAAAGCTGCATTAGTATGACATAGGTTACTAATGCTACTTTTCTCCTGAGCTGTTATTTTTACGTGTGTTTTTCAGAATACAAAGCTTTTCTTGAGTACACTTGGCCCTTGGACAACATGGGTTTGAACTGTGCAGGTCTACTTATACACATATTTTTCAATAAATTCACTGGAAAATTTTTTGGAGATTTGCAACAATTTGAAAAGACTTGTAGATAAACCTTGTAGGAATATAAAAAAAACTAAGAAAAAGTTAGGTTTGTCATAAATGCATAAAATATATGTAGATGAGAGTCTATTTTGTCATTTACTACCATAAAATATACAGAAATCTATTATGAAAAGTTGAAATTTATCAAAAGTTATACAACACAAATCATACAGGGTGCCCTTCAAAGTGGAGAGAAATGTAAACAAATGTACAGATGCAGTATTAAATCACTGCATAAAATTAATTGTACATGCTGTGCCCCTGTAATCATTTTATAGCCATCTGTTGCTCCTGCTGAGCTCAAGTGTTTTGAGTATCTACTTAAAAAGCTGTGTGATGTTAATCATCTCTTCATGAGCAGGGTGCCAGATACTCTGTGCAGTAAATTGCATATTGTGGTAAAACATGATCTCTGTGTATCTTGCATATTTTTCATCGTGTTTAGTGCAATACCATAAACCTTGAATAACATCATGAGACCCATATGATGTGCCGCTAGTGATGCTGGGAGCGCTCCCTAGAAGCAGAGAAAAGTCATGACGTTAGAAGAAAAAGTTGAATTGCTTGATGTATACTGTAGATTGAGCTCTGCAGCTGCAGTTGCCTGCCATTTCAATATAAATCAATCCAGCATAAGGACCATTATAAAAAGGAAAAGAAATTTCATGAAGTCATTGCTACAGCTATGATAGCAGGCATGAAAGCCTTGCACTTTTGGTGAAATATCTTTTTATCTTGAATTGATATACAGCTTTTATGTGCTGTGTGCACATAAGAAAGGCACACCTACAGACTCCAATACAATTCAAGAAAAAGTGAAGTCGTTAAGTGACAGGCTAAAGCAAAAGAAGGTGAAGGATATAAGGTGGAGAATTGAATGCCAGCAGAGGATGGTTTGAAAGTTTTAGAAAGAGGTTTGGCTTTAAAAATGTTAACAGGAGAACCATCTTCTGCCAATCAAGAGGCAGCAGGCAAGTTCCCAGATGCTATTAAGAAAATCTTTGAGGAGAAACGGTATCTCCTTCAACAGATTTTTAATGCAGACCAAAGCGCCTTATTCTGGAAAAAAAGTATGCCACTGAGGACATTTATTAGTAAGGAATCTAAGTGAGCACCAAGATTTAAGGCAGGAAGGGATAGGCTAACTCTACATTTTTGTGCAAATGCAGTTGGACTTATGATCAGGACTGCCCTTATCAAGAAAGCATCTAACCTAAAAAAGGGGGGTGTTCTCCGTGGAATAGTAGATTAATAATAACAAAATATACATAAAAAATAAAAATAGAAAAAAATTAATGATACCATAATAAAGAAAGAAAAAAAAAAAAAAAAAAAAGAAAGCAGCTAACCTGCAAGCCTTAAAGGGAAAAGATAAACACCAGCTGCCAGTCTTTTGGTTCTACAATAAGAAGACCTGGACAATGAGAACCCTTTTTCTGGATTGGTTCTGTTGTTACTTGTACCTGAAGTCAGGAAGTACCTTGCCAGTAAGGGACTGCCTTTTAAAGTTCTTTTAAATTGGACAATGCCTCTGGCCATCCAGAACCCCATGAATTTAACACCAAAGGTGTTAAAGTGGTCTACTTTTCCCCCAAAACGTCTTTAATTCAGCCTCTAGATCAGAGGTACACGTAAGGACCTTTAAGGCTCATTACACATGGTGCTCTATGGAAAGGATTGTAAATGCTGTGAAAGAGAAAACTGAGAGAACATGAAAGTCTGGAAGGATTACACCACTGAAGATGTCATTGTTGTTATAGAAAAAGCTGTGAAAGCCATCAAGCCAAAACAATAATTTCCTGCTGGAGAAAACTGTCCAGATGTTGTACATGACTTCACGGGCTTTATGAAAGCGCCAATTAAGGAAATCACGAAAGAAATTGTAGATATGGCAAAAAAAGTCAGGAGTGAAGGGTTTTAAGATATGGTTCTTGGAGAAATTCAAGAGCTTATAGACATCACACCAGAGGAATTAACAGATGACTTGAGACAAGTGCTTCCAAACCAATGCCAGATGAAGAGGAAGAAGATGACTTAGAGGAAGCAGTGCCAGGAGACAAACTGATATTAGACCGTCTGGCTGAAGGGTTCCTGTTATTCAAGACTACTTTTCACTTCTTTTACAACATGGATCCTTCTGTGATATGGACACTGAAACTAAAGCAAGTGGTGGAAGAAGGATTTGTGCCATATAGAAACACTGAGAGAAATGAAAAAGTAGAAAGAAATTACGATGCGTTTCTGTGAAGGTACCCCGAGTGTGCCTGCCTCTCCTGCCTCCCCTCCCACCTCTTCCACCTCGTCCACGTCTGCCACCCCTGAGAATGGAGGAGTGCCCCAGCCTCTTCCTCTGCGGCCTACTCAGTGTGAAGACAACGAAGATGAAGCCCTTTGTGGAGAAGACATTTATAATGATCCACTTCCTCTCAAGGAATAATAAATCACCATCATGCAGTATAGTTAATAAACTTATCTGTTGTATATGCATGTGAGTCTCTTAGTGTGAAAATCTAATAACTGTATCGTAAGAGTTGTATGAGGTTTTTCTGTCATCATCACCTATGTATTCATCGTGTAGAACATCGTATGCCAAACTTGTATAGAAGTCGGTAGCCTATCCTTACATAGGCAGAAGGTAAGTGATATTTAATATAATATCAATAATATGTTCTCTTGCTCTTTTATAATTTTGCTTTCAAAGAATTACATTATCATTCATTATGCCTGCCTCTCTTTCTTTACTGAAGAAACTTTATCAGCCTGCCATTACAGGTAGTTGTTTTTTTTTTTAAGTAACAATGTTTCTAATACTGTATGATGAATATGATTGTAGTACATTCATTAGTATACAGGCTAAGCTATTGTAAAGCAATTGTATTGATTAGGCTACCATAAAAGTTATATTACTACTGCTTCTTTATCAATGCATGAATTGTTAAAACTATAAATAAATGTGAATTTCTTTTCATATTATCTTTTCATTTTCAATGTATTAGTAATATGTATAACATCTACAGTGTTTTGTATGATATAAGAATATGTAGATACTGACAGATGACTCATCTTGTGAACAGATGATGTAAACTTACAGTATAGATATACAGTACCATAAATTATTTTCTCTTCCTTAAAGTTTTCTTAATAACCATTCTCTTTTTTCTAGCTTACTTTATTGTAAGAATATAGCATATCATTCATATACAAAATGTGTCTCACTCATGTTTATGTTATTGGTAAGGCTTCTGGCCAACAGTTGGTTATTAGTAATTAAGTTTTTGGGGAATCAAAAGTTATACATGGATTTTTGACTGCCTGGGGTTGGTGCCCTAGCCCTCCACATTGTTCAGGGGTCAACTGTATTATGCTATTGCAGATATTTACTGTGAGACTGGGTGAACCAAAAGTCAATTTCCTATGAGTCCCTAGCTTTTACTAATTCTTATGTAAATATAGAAAAACAATGAGATTAAATAAATTTATTCATGTAAATTGCCTAAAAGAGTTCCTGCATAGAGAAGATTCTCAATAAGTACTAATTAACAGCATCACCAGGTTCCTATTATATGTTAGTTATCTCATTATTAAATGGGATCATATCTTTATTCACCTAGTTAATTGAATTATATGTCATTCCCCAGAGGGACTATAACTAGTACATGCAATTATATGTTTAGGTTACTGTACTGACAGCTAAAATGTTTAATATCCATAATGTAATATTAATCAAATTTGACAGAAGTTAAACATTTTCACCTAAGTGAAAGGTTAACTAACATTTAAATTCAAATATATCAGTTTACATGTATTCCACTAGAGAGCATATTGGCATTCTGTGTCCCTTTTGCATTCTAGATAATATGTTCTTGGCACTGCCTTCAGGCAAAACTGGTAAGTATGTGAATATGGAAATAGGAAAGCAGGTGGAAAATGGATTATGAGATCTTTGTGTCTAGAGGAAGGAGGAAGGAGATTGACTCTACCTAGAGTTAATTCCTATTTTATTTTTTGCAAGTGTTGCAAGGTGGTTAGAACTTTTTCTTCTGTCTGATCCCTTCTGTTTTCAGGGATTGCTTCTAAATTTCTGGTCTACTGAGAGGACTTTGTTACTTTCCAGTGACTATGGTTTGCAATTAAAAAAATTTTTATATATACACAGATGCATGTATACACATGTACGTGCACATGTATATATTTGAAATGACATAAATGTGTTGGGAGGGTAGCTGGATCATTGGCTCAGTTTGTCATCTTAATCCAGTCTATAAAAACATTTTGTATTATCTTGATGTTTTTCCCCTTTAGATTACAAGATCTTCTGAGTCCAAAACAGGCTGAGGATACAGAGAAAAAAGATGAGCCCAGCAAAGATAATCAGCGGCAGGCCCTTACTGACCAGAGATACTTTCAGGTATTAAATAGCCGGCAAAGAGACGTGTGTGTAGCAGACATTGGTTTTGGTCGCAGTGATAAACCACCGTTCTGTGAGGAATGCTCATGTTCTGTATTTGTGTCTGGCCTGTCTTGTCTGCCCTGACACACCCACGTGCCTAAAACATTTTAGGTACCTTGGATTAGAATTTGTCTTACCCTTAAAAGAGACTTTGCCTAGTTCCAAGCAAGGTAGTATAAAACTGGTAAGATTTAAAAAAGGTTTATCACCCTTTTTCCTACTCTTCCCCCAAAGATGTCTCCTTTTAATTTTGTTCTTGTTGCTGTTGTTGGTATTCTCACTGTTATTATTATATAAGTAAATCCATTTTCCTAAGGTCATTGTCTGTTTTTGTTTTTTATTTAGCTATTTAGTTCATCTGAAATTTATTTTTTTATGTAGTGTGATGTAGAGATCTAACCTTGCTGGTTTTACAGACCATTTATTGAAAAAATGAGCTGTTAAGCCTGGTAGTTTCCTGATTGAACTGTGCCTGCACTCATATTTTATTGGGTCCACACCAGGTGTTTTAAACTTTGAATTAATTACAAATAGTTTTTAAATTAAAAGATTCTAATTAAGTCCTTATTTCTAGCTTCTCTTAAAAAGCAAGAGAACCTGGCAACAAATTCCTGCATAGTCATTATCAGAGTAGAACCATGCCTTTCCCTGTCACATCCGGGCATCTGCTCATCAGTTAGCCGCAGTTGCCACCTGTCCTAACTTCATCCACTGATGCTCTTACCTGGCTTCTGTAGGCGGTTGAGTTTGCAATTTCTGCTAGACCATTTTCTACTTTATTGAAATGAAACCTTTATCGTATACCATATTGTCTTATTTGCATAGGTTTGTTTCTAGGCATTCTAGTCTGTTCTATTTCTATACTATTTTCATGTTCTTTTAATTTCTGTAGTTTTATAGTAGGTGTTGATATCTTTTTATTAAGGTATCATTGATATAAAATCTTATAAAGGTTTCACACAAGCAACATTGTGGTTGTTACATTCACCCATATTATCAAGTCCCCTCCACACCCCATTGCAGTCACTGTCCATCAGTGTAGTAAAATGCTATAGAGTCATTACTTGTCTTATCTATGCTATACTACCTTCCCCGTGACCCCCTTACATTATGTGTGCTAATCATAATGCCCCTTAATCCCCTTCTCCTCCCTCCCCACCCCTACCACCTGCTTCCCTTTGGTAACCGCTAGTCCCTTCTTGGGTTCTGTAAGTGTGCTGTTGTTATGTTTCTTCAGTTTTGCTTTGTTGTTATACTCCACAAATGATGGAAATCATTTGGTGCTTGTCTTTCTCCACCTGGCTTATTTCACTGAGCATAATACCCTCTGGCTCCATCCATGTTGTTGCAAATGGTAGGATTTGTTTTCTTCTTATGGCTGAATAATATTCCATTGTGCATATGTACCACATCTTCTTTATCCTTCATCCACTGATAGACACGTTGCTTCCATATCTTGGCTATTGTAAATAGTGCTATGATAAACATACAAATGCATATGTCTTTTTGAATCTCAGATCTTGTTTTCTTCAGGTAAATTCCTCGGAGTGGAATTCCTGGGTCAAATGGTATTTCTATTTAGTTTTTTGAGGAACCTCCATTTTGCTTTTCACAACAGTTGATTCCACAGATCAGTGGAATGGCCTTTTAAAGACTTAGGTATAGGGCCAGCTAGGTGGCAGTACCTTGCAGAGCAGGGGTAAGGTTTTCCAGAAGGCTGTATATATTCTGAATCAGCGTCCAATATATGATTCTGTTTCTCCCATAACCAGTTCATGACTTCAGGAATCAAAGGGTAGAAATGGCTCCTTTCTGAGACCTTATGCTTTACAAGCTTAGAGGTCTTAGTGACAGGGAGGAGTGCCTCTACCGAGAGACACAACAATTACCTTGAACTGAAATTTAAGACTGTTTTGCTTCCTTATGCCTCTGGATCAACAGGCAAAGAAGGGTGTTATGTGCTGGCTAGAGTTATTGATCTTGACTACCAAGGGGAAATTGGCTTACCTGCTCTGCAATGGAGGAAAGGAAGAGTATGTCTGGAATACAGGAGACCCCTTGGGCATTCTTAGTGTTACAGTACCTTGTGATAAAGGTCTCGGAAAACTCCCAACATTCTAGTCCAAACAGAACTACTAATGGCCCATACCCTTGCTTCACAAAGGAAGGCTTGGGTCACTCAGCAAGTAAAGAACCAGGACCAGCTAAGGTGCTTACTGAAGGCAAAGGTATAGAGAATGGATTTTTGGAAGAAAATAGTGGAAAATACCAGCCAAGACTGTGTGATGAGTTGCAGAAATGAGGATTGTATTTGTCATGTGTATATCCTCATTTAATTACAGCTAGGTTTGTGCATATATATATATATGTATGGCATATATCTTTGTTTTATTCCTGCTCTTAGTCTCTTATTGCATAATAGAAGATATGTTGACTTTGTATCATAGTGTTTTAAGTATTGTTAACTTTATATCATAGTATTTAAGTCATGGGATATCAAGGAGAAGAGTAAACACCACTCCAAGACTTTACCTCCTCTTCTGGGGAAGAGGTTAGTGCATTTTCACTGGTACACAGGATAGTTTTATAGTGTTAGGTAATACATGATCTTGTTACTGTCATTATTTGGAGATTAAGAATGGTTTAAGGAGATGTGTATGGGTGCCAAGTTGACAAGGGATGGACTTGTGATGCTTGATTTTATATGTCAACTTAACTAGGCCACAGGGTGTCTGGATGTTTGGTCAAATATTGTTCTGGGTGTTTCTGGATTAAATTAACATTTGAGTTGATAGACTGGGTAAAGCAGATGGCCCTCCTTAATGAGAGTGGGCCTTACTCTCAATCAGTTGAATCCCTGAAGAGAACAGAAAGGCTGAGAAAGAGGAAACAGTGCCTGCCTGACTACCTCTGAACTAGGACATCACTTTTTTCCCTGCCTCTGAACTTGAGCTGAAACATTGGTGGTTTCTGGGGCTTGAGTCTGCTGGCATTTGAACTGGATTTATTGGCTCTCTTGGGTGTTTATATTGCCAACTGAGGATCTTGGGACTTGTCAGCCTCCTGTATAATTGCCTGAGGCAATTCCTCATAACAAATACACATACACCCACGTATATGCACGCACACACATCCTTGTTAGTTGTTTCTCTGAAGAACCCTAATACAGTGTTAAGTATTTATATTCTTTTAATTTCCTCTGTTTCAAAACTTTTATGAAAAATTGGAAAAAGTCATTCACATCTCAATCAATACTTCAATCTTTCATTCATTCAAAGCTTCTAACTTATGCCTGCTTTTCTTCATGTCTGACCTCTACTTCTTCAGACAAGCAGCGTGGCTAGGGGATGGGATCTGTTTCTTTCTTTCTTAGTGCTCTCCCTTTTCTTCTGGTCCTCTCCCATATATGGTTTCTTCATGCTTGGCAGGGAGGGTGGATGTTGGGTGAAACTAGGTAGAAGGGTAGTATCTTTCTTGACTGGTGCTGGTGGTATACTCTAGCAGTGGTGCCCATTGTGTGGCTGAGGCCAAATACTGTCTGCTTTTCTCTTGAATGGAATGCTTGTGTGTGCAAGTATGGAGTTATTTCCTCCCCACCAGCTAGGGACTTTGGCAGCGTGCCATTCATTCTGTAGGCAGTGCATTTTCCAGCTGAATCCCTCTTTTCCTATTCAAGTGATACTCCCCTGCGGTCCTTCAGCTATAGGTAACTATTTTATTTCATGAAAGCAAAGCTTTATTCTCTTCCAAACTGTCCACTTGTCTACAGAGTGCATTATCAGATTACAGTGTAAAAGGGCAGCTTCTCTTGCTGTTTTCTTTCTTTGTTCTACTCCATTTTTATCTTTATATATGTATCAGTTCATGTTTTTACTATGTAACAAACCCTCCTAAAACATAGTGACTTAAAATAATTCTTTAATATTGATCTTGACTGGGTTCCTTTATGCATGTACTATCCAAGTCAGCTAGATGGCTCTGCTTCTGGGAGTTGGGTGGATATTGGCTAGGGTTAGTGGGAATGACTGGGCCATGTACCTTTCATCATTTACCACCTAGCCTAGGTTTGTCCACTTGGTAGCCTTCAGAGAGAGAAAGTAGAAATAAGGCTCCTTGAGTCTTGGGCTCTGAGCTGGCCACCCCATTACTTCCTTTTCTGTGGACCAATGCAAGGCCCAGGACCAGTCCAGATTCAAGGAGTAGAAAATAGACTCCACTTCTTGATGAACCTTCAGTGTCACCTTGCAAAGGGAAGAGAATATAAGGAAAAGAAATATTGCAATAATTTTTGCAAACAATCTGCTACAAAGTATGGATAAATACTGCTAGACATACATGTAGTCCCCTTGGTTCACCCTCTTCATCATGGAATGGGATCAGCCTGCTGCCCTCCTGACCTTTGGGGTGATGCTGGGGAGAAGGGGAACGGAAGGTTCCTGCTCTGATTAATAATTTAAATGGAGGTATTGTTTTCTCCATTAAACTGGTATTCAAAGTGAAGTTCAAATATAACAGTGAAATACTGAAATGTACTGTCCTACACTGAACAACAGCAGCAGCGAAACTGTCTGCACAGCAGCGCCGGATCAGGCCTCAGGGACCTGCAGCCTTCTGGAGCTTTCTCCTAGGAGAAAAGAGAAACAGCACAGCATTTTTCACTCACTAGTTCTATACATTCCTTTAAAAGACACTTGTCTTGGTGAATCCTGTCCAGTGAATTGCTGACATTGTCTTGGGCTGGTCACTATCCAGGATCAGTTTGATTACCTCTTAGTGAGACTTGCGTGCTGTTTCCAGGATTTCTTTTTAGAATGCTGTTGGGCTTATTATTCATTGTACTTATTTTGAATTCAGTTTTAGCTATGAAACAATAAGAAATCCCCTGTTATCAAATTTAATTTAAATATGAGGAGATAGAAAAGGGAAAATGAGGTACTTTAGCTAAGGATGTCTTGGTGATTGTTAATCTCTGTGTGGATTGCTCTTTCCTATTGAGGTCATTCATAACCATTTTCAAATCTAAATAATTTACAAATGCACTTAGCTTTTTTGCGAGTCTGTCATTCTCATTAGAACTTACATGTTTATCACATTGATGAAATTGTTGTACTTGCAAAGCATTAGATGTGTCAGCCTTATTAAAGATCTTCTTACTGCCTAAAATTAACTCTGAAAATGATGTTACACTGTTCTATAGAATGCTCCTTTAACATATATCACTTTGACAGGACTATGATAAACATTTCAACTAAAACACCATCTTTTTTTAAAGGTACTGAGTAGCATTAATTCAGTTATTCACAATCCAAGAGTTCCAGTAATAATTTATAAACAGAGCAAAGGAAGCGTTCAACATTTTAAAAAAGATCTTGTTCAAGATTGTGGATTTGAGCATCTTGTTCCTATAATAGAAATGTGGGCAGATCAACTGACTTCCCTAAAGGTAAGGGGTTGAATATTCTTTACAAGCTTTGAAAATATATTGGAGTCTGTGGGCATTACAAATAAGACTAGCCTTAATTTTTTGGTTTCTTTGAACTGTTAAGCTGAAAAGGCTTAGCTTATCTAAAACTTGAATTTTGCTGCTTACATATTTGTTTGGAGTACTATCTAGTTGATCTTGTCATTACTAAAGCTTTGCCTCTTGTAGAGTTCTACCAACACGACATATTTTTAGGTCCATTGCCTTGTTGAAAATCTATAGTGGATGCATTTTGCCCTTCTAAGGCCCTTCCCTCCCTGTTCTACCTTCACCTCCCTCTTTTTGGTGTCCCCACACTGCAGATTTTCTCAGCCCTTACTCCTTCCTCTGCAGATGTAATGTCATCCTTCATTCCATTTTAATTGGGCATGTATTTTCCTTTGTTCATATTTTAAATTACTCCTCTTCTTTCAAAACTGAACTTGTTCCTGCCTGTGTATTCTCTAGAGCACATATCAGTCTGACAGCAGCCAGTGCTTCTGTGACCCATGCTGCCTGTCCCTGGAAGAGTAAAGCTTCTCTTAGGAAGTTACTGTGTATTCTTTATTACATAACGTCCAAGTTTTTTCAGTTTTTCTTGAGTCAGTCACTGAAAGGTGAATTGCTAAAGTCAGTAGTATTTAATGTCTGTTACCTTTAAACTTGAGATTTTTCAGTAGCTGATACATATTTCACTGCCTCTGTTCATGAAGGTGAACAGTGTAACTCAGTAACAAAATTTGTCAACAGCAGCCTTATTGCATGAAGTGTAAGTGATGCAGGAGATGTGTAAGAACGTGTCAGCTCCCTGTTGGTCTTTTTTGTTCTCTATTGTGTCCTAAGAAACCTCCCAAATACATAATGAGTGCTCAATATTTGTCAAAAGAATGAAGCAGAATCACACATTCCAAGACAACAAAAAGGAGAAGAGGATATGAATTTAAAAATTTTTTTTAATGAAAACATACTTGTAACTGATGAAAGAATCTTCACATTCAGCCTGATTTCTCCTTTCCTTTTTATATAAGGCTCAGAGCTATGAAAAAAAAAATATTTTTACTGAGTGACAGTGTTGGATTAATATGCCTATTTTATAGGCCTGTGTTTCTCCAGTTCATATCTCAGGAGAGGGTGAAATAATCAGTGGTTAATTATGTAAATCATGGCATTTTTCCGATCATTGCTTGCCATGGGGTTTTCCCAACAGGAGGAAATAGTGCTAACTCCACTTTTCTCCTTCTCAGGAGAGATGGGCTAGAACATGCCTCAGCCTTCCCAAGAGAAGGGAAAAGACTAGACAAGAAAAGGAGGCAAAGGGCAGAATCAAATAAATGGATAGTTATTGATTATTTACTATGTTCGTGGCATTGTGGGAGATATCAGAAAAGGTGAACAAAAGATTCAGACTAATTGGAGAGACAAAACATACGAAAAATAGGAAGTAAAATTTAACCATTCAAGATATTGTTAGAAGAAAATGAATGCCATAAAAAGAGAGAGCCCACGATGACAGTGCCAAGTGAGTAACGCAGCTGACTTGTACTCCTGGCCCTAGAAAAGCTGTACAGTAGTGGTGCCCTCATGGTACTGTACAGTTTTCCTGCTAGAAGGAGACAAGGAGAGTTAACTTTATAATTAGAATATTCTGAACACCCCCAAGAGGAATTTGGTGGCTTTGCCATTTAGACAGTGTTCCAGGTACTTACCTTACACTGCAGAATCTGGATCCAAATTGAGAAACACATGAGCTACTTTGAGGCCGCCTCATATGAAAGGTTTTCTATACTGTAGCAGCCTCCAAGTTTGGGACAGCTGTCTTCTCAGATCAGTTTTTTTCTGAGGTTAGGTTTTGCTTTAAAGGAGGATGGGAAAAGCATGGAGTGCTATCTGCCTACTTCTTTCTGTCTTTCCCACTCACCTCGCCAGGAAAGGTGAGCTACAGACACTGTTGCTTTCCAAACCCTGTACACTGTTGTATGCTACAGCTTCCCCACTCTCTCCTGCTCCAGAGGGTAGCCATACAGAGTCAGATAAGACCTGGTTGTACTTCTTTGTACATCCCACAACTGAGGAGAGATGAATTTAGGAGGCCTTCCTTCAGATTTTTCTGGATTTGTTTGACTGACTGTGCTAGTCATCCTGTCATTGCTAAGTAGAGCAGAACACCTTTTTTCTTATCCTTGTAATACTTTATTCTCAAGCAAAATGTATATTTGGTGTGCTTTTGACTGTAGACCATTTCTTTATAATTGCACCTTGTTGATGGAGCATCGGTTAATGAAGGTACCATTCATTATGCAGCAACTTCTGACTTTTTTTTCTTCTTTCAAATTCTGGTGGCACTTATTCTTTAAAACATTGATTTGACACTGAATATCTTCCCTTGAATTGCTAAGATAGGTAATTGCCTTCTTCCAGAGTGAAAGGTGAGAAATATCAATGTGTGAGGTCTGGGCATTAATTGGAGATGGTTTAATAAGTGGAGGACAAAAATAAGGAGTTGGAAAAATAACCTCCTCTACTTCTTTGTGTATTTTAGAGTTGCACTAATACATGCAGTTTTTGATCACCTGAAATGTGGCTAGTGCTATAAAATACACATCAGATCTAGAAGACTTAGCATGGAAAAAATAAAAAATACTGATTATGTATTGAAATGTTGTTCTGGATATATTGGGTTCAACTATGTTATTAAAGTTAATGTCACCTGCTTTTTTTTATTGTTTCATTGATATATAATATTATGAAGGTTTTTACAACATTCCCTCATATTATCAACTCCCCTTCCACACCCCATTGCAGTCACTGTCCATCAGCATAGTAAGATGCTATAGAGTCATTACTTGTCTTCTCCAGGCTATACTGTCTTCTCCATGACCCCCCTACATTATGTGCGCTAATCATAATACCCCTTAATCCCCTTCTCCTTCCTCCCCATCCCCTTCCCTTTTGTAACCACTAGTCCACTCTTGGGTTCTGTGAGTCTGCTGCTGTTTTGTTCCTTAAGTTTTGCTTTGCTGTTGTACTCCACAATTGAGTGAAATCATTTTCACCTGTTTCTTTTTATTTTAAATGTGGCTAGTAGACAATCTAAAAAAATTTTTTAATTGAAATACGGATATACAATCTTATATTGGTTTCAAGTATACAATACAGTGGCCCTACAGTTAGCCATATTATTAAATCCTCACCTCCCCTAGTGCAGTCACTATCTGTCAACACAGAAAGATGTTACAGAATCATTGACTATATTCTTCATGCTGTACTACTATGCCCATGACCAGCTTACATTATGATTGAGAATTTTTGTGCCCCTTTGTCCACTTCACTCTCCCCACCTACCAACCTCAACCCGTCCCCCATGACAACCACCAGTCACTTCTGAGTGACTGTGAGTCTGCTGCTGTAGACAATCTAAAATTACTGCAACTTAAATTTCTTTTAGACAGCATTGTTCTAAAGGGCCAACCACTGTGCCATGCACATAGTAGATGCTCAGTAAATATTTGTTTATCAATTGGCCAGTCTTAGAGTTCTAAATATCCAGTAGCCTTGACCCTTGTGCACAGTTAAAAATAGGTAAGGCCAGCATATCTAGGCCAAGAACTAAGTAAGCTGTTAAGATTAAGTAGAATTAATTTAGGCATCCTTTCAAATTAAATACCTGCCTGGAGATGCATGCTATAACATGGATGAATCTTGAAGACATAATCCTAAATGAAAGAAGCCAGTCCCAAAGGCCACATATTATATGATTCCATTCTATGAGAAATGCCCAGAATAGGCAAATCCACTGAAACAGAACATAGATTAGTAGTTATCAGGGGCTGGGAACAGGGGAGAATAGAGAATTACTATGAGGTGGTATGGGGTTTTTTTGGTGGGTGATGAAAATGTTCTAAAATTGGATAATGGTGATGGTTGCAATTTCCTGTTAAAGATGTTAAAACTACTGAATTGTACACTTAAAGAGGGTAAATTTTATGGTATATGAATTACATCTCAATGGGCCTGCTGTAAAAAAATTCAAGGCTAAAATGTAAAGGATAAATTTATTTTTTATCCATCAGAAATTCAAAATAATTACTTAAATAACATACACTAATAATAAATAATATATAATTACTTAAACATCCAGATTCATGATGATCAATATATGTTTTTTGTAAGGTGTATATTTACATGGAGAAAACTAATTTAACAGACTTTTTCTAAACTGATAATAAAATTTGAAAAAATATTGATGTGGTTAACATATGTTAAATCAGTGTAGATAATTATATTTTATTAACATCATGGAAACTACATTTAAAATCTATAATACCATTTTGTTTCTTTTGTTATGAAGGATTTATATAAGTCCTTGAAAATACTATCTGCAGAACTGGTGCCTTGGCATAATTTAAGGAAACAGGATGAAAATGAAGGTATCAAAGTTGAGGATCTGTTATTTACAGTAGACACCATATTAGAAGAAGTTGAAAATAAGGAAAAGGTAATATTTAATACCTAAATGTTCACATTTTAACATAATCTTTTCTTAAAATCTGGTAATGAAATGGATATTGATATTTGTTCTGCTAAGACTCTATTTCTCTTTTTAAAGTTTTTATTAAATGTTTGGGATTATTTTAAGATATGATCTTTCTTTCTCTCCCTCTCTTTTGCCAGGATGGCAATATGCCAAACTTTCGAACTCTGCAGGCTATTGTTTCTCATTTCCAAAAATTATTTGATGTGCCTTCTTTAAATGGAGTGTATCCCCGAATGAATGAAGTTTACACTAGGCTTGGAGAAGTAAACAATGCTGTGAGAAACCTCCAAGAACTTTTAGGATTAGGTGATGATCCTTTGTCATTTTTGGCCCCCACCTAAGAATTATTCCTAGTAAATTAACAAAAAGTAGGTAAAAAACTTTTTAAGTAAAAGAATTGAGAATAACCGAAGGAAAAAGCACGTGGTTTAATGGTTTTGAAAATTGTCATTTAAAATATCCTATCCTTTGATTTCTCTTTTATAGATAGATCATCCTCATTGTGTGTGCTGGTGAGCACAGTTGGGAAATTGTGTAGGCTGATTAATGAGGATATGAATGCACAGGTTATGCAGGTATTGGGACCTGAAGACCTCCAAAGGTATTTATTTTAAAAGTTTGCAGAGTATCATCCAGAATTCTTGGCATGGTCAAATTCTGAAGTTATTTGCCTTTCCTGTTTGGAATAGCTTTTTTAAAGTAACTTGACATTCTAAAATAATCTCTTACCTTAGGGATGGAGAGAAGGCTAAGTATTTTCAAGATAAAAATAGATTGTAGGGCTTATAAAGTTCATGTAAGGTGAGTCAGGACTCCAGCATTATTGCTATGGCCTGTTCCCAGGGGAAATTGCATATATGTGAGCAACTTCATGTGAGTTCAGAATATATAAACAAGTCTTCTTTTTAGTACTCTAAAATAGACCACTGAATAATCACTAATGGTATAGCTATTATTTAATTAGAATACAAATGTTAAGGATTGTTTGAAAAGCTAGGCATCTCTAACATAAAACCTGATGTTTTTTAAATTACTGAAACATTATAGCTCTTCTTAAAACAACCCTTCCTCCTCTCCCCCTCAATTTTATATAAACTGCAACATAGAGGAAGGGGAATACATACATATACCACCTTTTCACTTATGCCAAATATACCACATATACCACTTGTGTTCTGCAAGTTCTCCAAGAAGAACCATTACCCTAATCTGACACTTCAGTGTTTCATTCTTGATAATTTAAAAAGGAACATATATCTCACTCTTGGTCTTTTTCTCCTTCCTGCAGGTTTATTGATTCCTGGAACTTATTCTTATGTTTAATCAAATGCTGCATATAAAAGCCAATTATTTTTAGAAAATGTTATAAAAACATGGTCTCTTAAGAATCCTCTAGCTAAATGAAAACTTTCCCATGTTAGGCATGTTATGTAAATTTAACTTCGGAACAGGTGTTTACAGTGATACTAACTATTTTTTAGAAAAGTAATATTAGATGAATAAAGAGCTCAAAAAGCAAGGATTGCAGTAAATGATTATTTAATTTATATTTAAATTAGCAGGAAATTTTTCAATTTTGAAAATGTTCTATTTTCAATAGATGAAAGAACCTTAAGTTGGAAATTCAGTATAAACTCTGCATTTTTTTTAAAGCATTATCAAGAAATTGGAAGAACATGAAGAATTTTTCCCAGCATTTCAGGCATTCACTAGTGATCTACTTGAAATCTTAGGTAAGATTTCTGTTGGTGGTGGTTTAATTTCACATCTTAAGATGTCAGTGGGTTTGAGGGAAAAGTGTTTTAGTTTCTGGATTAGTTTTACCTAGAGTGGTTGGTGGAAAATAGCTAGAAACCGCTAATAGTTCTGGAAACACACTCCTAACTTGCAGTTAGACTTAGTTGGGATTAGTCTATGGAACAAAGAAACACATATCCTTTAAGGAGTTAGGGGCTGCCTTTGCTTTAAGGTCTTAGGTGAGACATGGCATTACTTTATCTTGGCTCAAGTTTACCTGACTCTGTCATTACCTAATGAGAAATCATGGTAGAATTTATGATCTGGAAAGGTGTTTTTACTCCCCCTCCCTCTTTTTTTTAAAGATAGTACCTACCTACTTATATTTTTCTAAATATACAAATTAAATTTCCTTCTCAGGTGATAAGAAGTAAAATAAACATCTGTAGAAAGGAAGAGATAAATTTATAAATCTGTAGAAGGGAGATACATGTATACTCTGTCAGATTGAGAGCTTCATTAGTACTAACATCTCTTACAGGGAAAAAATGTAATTTGATTAGGAGTCTTAGTCAAAAAAGGACCCAAGTCCAGATTTATTTTGTGTGTGATTATATATGGCTATAAAAATAATTTATCTTACTATCACACTTTATAAAGTGATTTATTCACTAATGAATTCTTTTTATATATATATACCTCATTTTAAAAAAACTTTTTAAAAGACTGGCTCTTTGATATAAAAAGTTAAATTAGAAGAGGAAATGAGGTTTAATAGAATATAAAGAAATGACTAAATTAAAATTTGGTAAGAAGATGAATAAATGAAACATTTGACTAAAATGTATAACCTAGTGAATATAAAGGAACTTTTGTGGCCTGTTTTATGTAGACTGGAAACCAGAGAGATAGTGAGCATGCATACTTGAGACCTGCTCATATGTTGTAAAGATCATAGCAAGGGTAAATGTAATCTGAAAGTTAAACTTAAGATAAAACAAGAAATTGCAGAAATGTGTTCCTTGAATCCCAAAGAGAATACGTAGAATAGAATAGTAAGTTCCATGGAATAATATGGTTTTACTTGCTCTGGAGTAGCAGTTAAACAGTGAGGTTCTTGTCATTAATAAACACTTTAATAGGTATACTAGTACCACTTATTTCAGAATCCTTCTATAGAAACTTCCTCTCAGATATTATGGTACTCAGCCTGGTTCATGTGGGACCATTTGCTTCAGGAAACCAAGACTCCCTACTGAGGAGCTCAGTATTTTTGTCACAGTTGAAATTCTGGAGTTAAATGTTATACTTAACATTGGGAAAGTTACATCTGTTTGGCAAACATATTTTTATTATTAATAGATATCATGTCAAGCATCTAAAACTACAGAGTGGTGTACTGTATACCAGATACAGAGAAGGACTTTATTTTTCTCATATAGGAGGTGTGATTAGCTGTGAAAATTCTCATCTCAGCTAAGATCCTTCTCTGTGAGGTTGATTTGTAAAGCAGATTTCTTAGTTAGTGAGAAGACAGGTGTGATTTCAGAATGGGTATCAGGAAATAACTTGATCTTATACCTTACCATGATATAAGGTGTGAACCAAATTCTCTGTTTTAGATTTACTTACATTTTTTCCTTTCCTATTTCTTGATGTTTTGTAAGTAGATCCAGACAAGTATTCTGACTGCAGTTAGGAGCTTAGACATGTGTTGAGGCTAAAGCAAGAACAACCAAACTTTAGCTAAACATGGAGGGGAGAGAGGTAGAATCCAAAGAAGCATGTTTTATGTAAAAGGAATGAATAGAATAATCTAGAAAAAAGTGGTGAGAATCAAGACAGCCTGCCACTGAGGCTTACCTTTTAAGCAGGGCTGGAGTCTAGATAACAAGAGGAAGGACCTTGCTTCTTCAGTGGCCAGGAGCTTTCAGACAGTGAACTCCAACTTAGGCTGGTTGGAAGAGGGTGCTCTTAGGAAGAGAGGTCAGACTCAGGAAGAACCTGACCGAGAAACACCTGAGCTGGCTTATTTGGTAAACTCTGTAATACATTGCATCTGAGATTTGTACTTTGAGAAACCTCACACCCTTTATTAGGTAGATAAGTTTCATCCTAAAAGGTAGACCTAAGAGTGATCGTACTAGGGAAAGCTTTCCAGGAGAATTGAGGCTAAGACTGTGTTCCAAGAGAAGAAATAAATCCCTAAGTCCTGAGATGGGGACCCAGGAGAGAAAGAACATCTACCTGGGATTTCACCATGTAATTATACAGATTTAAAGAGGCAGTAACATATCATAAATGTGGCCAGTAGGGTCTGTTAATAAGAGCACACACTGCTAATGAGATTAATATTAGAATCAAAGGTTGCTTGTGGGTATGTGGTAGCTTTTACAAATAGATGCCCTGTAAAGCATCTGCATCCGCATCAGTGATACATTGTGACCACTGTTGGGGAAAGTTTTCCCGTGTGTGAAAGCACTAGTGTTGTTGCTTTTGTGTTAGAGCTTCCATTGCATAGAGCTTCTCAATTCATCTGAGCTTATCACAAGATAAAGCTCTCCTATTATTCTTGTTTTTCTATTACAGAGATTGATGACTTGGATGCCATTGTACCTGCAGTAAAGAAATTAAAAATACTATCATACTGATAGCAAATCAAATCATTTTACTGTGTAAATTGCATTCTTAACATTCTAAGAATTTCATAGGATTGATCTTAATTTGAGACAAGGGTTATAAATGTATTTATACAGGATTCAGCCCCTTCTTAGTATTGGGTTCTTCTCCATGCATAAAATTTTTATAAGGTTCTTATATAGAAGAGTTGCAAGTTAAAGTGGAAAGTTAACTTTAGATCCTTTCATCATTTCTTAAGCAATTTTCTTGAGTGCTTAAAGTTTTAAGGTTGTTTTAAAGTATAGTGTGTGAGTGAAAGAGAAACTCAAGGATAAATATGCAAGTAATAGAAAGGCTGTGTTTAATTTCCGTGTTGAGTGACCTCTGGTTTTGGGAGCAAGGAATACCAATGGCTTTCTTACGTCCAGCCTTAGCAGGAAGCTGTTGCTTTCCTGGCAAGGCAGTGGCACATGCTGTTACAGTATCCCTCATGGCACTTGCCCCTTCAAAGCAGGAAGAAACAAAAAATGTTTTATCATTGTGTTAGGGTAGGAAATGAATTATGAGGTGAAAGAGATGAGTACATAGAAGTCTCTCATTAAAAGTGTCTTTTTTTTCTTTTGAAATCTTGATGTAATGTACTTTTATAAGGCATGAGCTCGTAAATAAAATTTTTGTAAAGAATTTCCAAATGTAAGTGTCCTTAGTGACTTATTTGTATTACTCACAAATAATGAGCTATATTCTCTTACAAGGCTGAGCCTTCTTTGGACAACTGGTTCACCTTTGCTGTATTTTTATTTTTTTACATGGGAGTATTTTTCTTGCTGCCTCCTACCTACTTCCTCTCTATTCTCAATATTCAGCCTGATTTTCTTAAGGTACCAGTATGTTGCCTCATGTCTGAGTATAAGCCACTTTGGATTACCACTGCTCCCCCATATCTCCCCTTTTATAAGTAGCAAGCCTAGGAAGATTTTTCATTTATTTTTGTTTGTTGTCATAGAATTTCCAGGAAGCAGCATGGTGGGATGGAGAGCAAGCATCCAGATGCTTGGAATTGGGACCTCAGGGAGTAGATAATACTGCACGTTCTTTCTAGATTTAAAATGCTCTGTTTTGTTGGCCTGAAATTCATTTCTAAACACTAGCCCACAATTTGTGAAAGAACAATTTGTGTCTTTGAGGGCTGTGTGGAAAAAGTATTTGGATATTCAATAATGTAAATACCCTGAGTTGATTAGATTACTCCAAAAAATTGTTAGAGACAGTTTGGAAATCTAACAATATTTGAAAGGAAGAGAAAATAATATTAATCTGAATTTTGTCAGCTAGTTTAAGAGCCTATTGTAACTCTTAGTATAAAACAGGTTTTCAAACTTCCTTAGAGGCCTAGAAGTTTTTTGGAGGGCCACTAAGAGGGGCAGTGCCACTTGTTTGAAGAACTAAAGGCCCTTTCTATATCAAATCTACTTTTATCTAGTTTTAATTATTTAAAATATAAGTAAAAATTATTATTTAGCTCTTGGTGGTTTTTTTGCATTTTATTGATGTATAATTTACATATAGTAGATAATACATAATTAAAGTACATAATTTGATAAATTCTGATATACATACACACCTGCGAAACCATCACCACAATCAAAATAATAAATATACCATGATTCCTAAAGTCTTTGCCCTTGGTAATCCCTTCCCACCCACTCCCACCCCCAGGCAACAACTGATCTCCTTTCTCTCCCTATACACTACTTTGCATTTTATGGGATTTTATATAAATGGAGTCATACAATGTTGTCCTATTTTTTGTCTGACTTCTTTCACTCACCAAAATTATTTTGAGATTTTTCATGTTGTTGCATTTATTAACAGTTCAGTCCTTTATATTGCTATGTAGTATTCCATTGTGTGAATATACCACAATTTGTTTATGCATTCACCTACTGATGGAAATTCAGGTTATTTCTGGTTTTTGTCTAAAAATAAAACTGCTGTGAACATTCATGTTCAGGTCTTCATTTGGACATATACCTAATATGTAGTGTCTTAAAAGCTGTGGTTTTATGTATTATGTCTACTTTTAGTTTTATTTTGATTTGGATCTTGGTTGGCACAAAGTGGAAGGGTAAATTTGGGTTTTGTTACTCCATCCTGATTTAAAGTGTAAGTTTAGAAATATTAAGCCTGAGAATATGTAGCATTTCTTAGGTTGCCTTTTTATCATTTTTTTCAAATTTTTTTGCATTGTAGTCAGAGAACGTGGTCTTTGGTACTGAGTCTTTGGAATTTGTTGACTTTCTTTATGACTTTCTATGAGAAGAATTTTACATGTGTTCTACATGTGCTTCAAAAAAAGTCTTAATTGTTCACTAGTTAATATATACACTATTATGTTGTTTAAATCTTCATTTCTATCCTTTTTTTGTCTACTTGATTTGTTTATGGGAGATACTGAAATTTCTCTGTGGGTTTGTCAGATTTTGTTTTATATATTTTGAGCCTATTTATACATACTTATAAATGCATAGTTGATAATATTTTCTTGATTAGTATCTCTTTTTATTCCTACTCATGCTTCACCTTGAATGCAGTTTTGTCCTTTGTTAATTAACAGTTGCTGGATATTTCTTTCCTTTTTCATTCATTTCACTATTTTATTGTAAAATATAACATGTTAAAATGGTATAAACCATAGATGTTGAGTATAATGAATGACTGATTACAAAGTGAACCCCATGCAACAATCAAGAAACAGAACCTCACCAGTGCTCCAAAAGGCCTTCCCCACCCAGCATTAAGTCCCCTCCCCCAAGAGGTAACCATTAGCCTGACTTATGTTAATCACTTATTTGTTTTTTAATAGTTCTACCACCTTTTTGTGTATGCCTATTGACAGTTGAATTTTGCCTATTTTTGAACTTTATAAAAATGTTAATTATGTTTTATATATATATATTCTTTTTTACGTTTCTTCTTTTACTCAACATTATGTTTATACCCTTCATTCATGCTGTTGTGTGTAGGTCCAGGTCACTTGTTTTCATTACTGTCTAGTTAGTATTCCTCCATGGATAGTCTGCAGTATGTTGGTCTGTTCTTCTGTGGGATTGACATTTGGGTTGTTTGTTATTCTTGGCTATTGTGAACTGCTGCTATGAACATTCTTGTATATGCATCCTCACTACTGTACAGTTTTCTTGAATCAATATTCAAGAGGTAAAATTGCTGGGTCCCAGCAGAAAACACTTTTGTATACAACAGAAGGTGTGTACTGTACAATTAGAAGTAGTACCATTTCTATAGATAATGATGTGAATGGCACCTCTGGGGTTGTACAGTGTGGTGACTTTGATGAGGAATGTGTATCTTCAGGTTTAGAAGAAAATGCCAAACTGTTTTCCAAAGTGGTTGTACCAATTTATATTTCTACCATCAGTGTTTAGAGTTCCCTCTTTTCCACATCCTGACCAATTCTTGGTAAGGTTTTTTATTTTTTACCATTGTAGTGTATAAAGCTGTTTTGTGCTTTTAAAGATGTTTATTTCCTTGATTACTAATTAAATTAAGCATCTTTTCCTTTGTTGGCCATTTGTATTTCTTTTTTGAAGTACTTATATTTGTATTCATTGTTTCTATTGGACTGTCTTTTCTTAGTGATTTGTAAGTTACTTGTGTATTCTCATCATGAACCATTTGACAGTTATGTGTGCTGCAAATGTCATCTATTCTGTGTCTTCTTTCTGTTTTACTATAGTTTCTCTTTATGAACCGAAGAACCTAATTTTAAAGTAGAGATCTTTGGTCTTTTCCTTTATAGTTAGTGCTCTTTGTGTCTTATGAAATCTTTCTCTAGTCACAAGTTTTAAAATTATTCTCCTATGTTATCTTACAACCATATAGTTTTGCCTTTCACATTTAGTCTAATACACCTGGAGTTTGATTTTTTGAATGTGATATGAGTAAAGGACCATTTTGTATCTTCCCTCATGGATATCCAATTTTCTCAGCACCGTTAATTGAAAAATCTGTCCTTTCCCCTCTGTTTACAGTGCTACCTCCATCATAAGTTGAATTATCTATTTGTGAATAGGTCTGTTATTAGGCTTCTCTTCTATTCTTTTGGTCCACTTGTCTCTCCCTCTGCTAGTACCAAATTGTCTTCCTTCTTGTAACTTTAAAATAAACCTTGGTATCCAGTTGAAGGCTTTCCACCCTTTATATTCCTATTGACACTGAATATGCTTGTTAGGTACACACAAACCACCTATTGGGATTTTTATTGGGTTTTCATTAAATATAGGATCAGTAGGGGAGATTGGCATCTGCAATGTTGGGTCTTCCAGCCCCAAACTTGTCATAGCTTTCCATTTGGTTAGGCTTACTTTAACATTTCTTGATAAAATTTTATAATCTTACCATATGGATTGTTGTTAGATGTATTCATAGTGTTTTATCTTTTATAGATGTATGTTTTTGAAGTTTCATTTTCTGTTGTGGAAAAAGAGAACTTCAATTGATTTTTTAATGTTTATTTTGTATTCATCAGTTTAGCTAAAAACTTTCTGATTAATTCTAGCAATTTATCTTTAGATTATTTTGCATTTTATGCTCATTATCATATCATCCGCATGTAACAACAGTGTTGATCAGATATACTCAGTTTTTCTTGCCTTACTACAAAGGCTGCAAAATAGAGCTGAGTAGAAGTGGTCATAGGAAGCAGCCCTTTATTGTTCCAATTTCAAAAGGAAATCTTTTACTGTATTTAAAAGAAAGATACCATATTTTGAATATATCTTTTAAAAATACATCTGACCATTTTTTTGTGTATTTTCTAGTTATATTTTACTGTATTTTTTGGGGGGGTGGGGGTAGGGGTTGATTTTTCTTTATTTCCTTTTCTCTGCTACTGATTTGGCAGTTTTATGTTTCAGCTCTGTTGATTTTCTATTGTTAACCAATATAAAAGAATACCTTAATATTTTTAACATACACTTAGGATCTAGTCAGGAGACAAAAATCATATTGCACAGGTAGCCAAATAAGAAAAATTTAAAACAAGAATTGCTGACTAGTGAAAAGGTAACTGCTTAAAGGGGATAAAAGAGGATTCTAAGGGGTGCAGATAGCAACTTCGGAAAGCAGATACTACCTCCAGGGATAAAGAGCAGGAAAGGAATTTAGGAATTTAGATGAGTGCTTTCCACCAAGCTGAGATTTAAACTTTTGAGGAGGGGTTTGGCTACCATAGGAACAGGCAACCCACTTGGGCAAAGAAACTTGCAGAGGGTGCTGGCTGGTGCTGAAACATGAAGGCTTATGGTGGCAGAGACCAAGTGTGTGAGCCAGGGGTTAACTGTGAGGGGTGCTTAGGTGATTGAGAATAGCCCCCACAGGACAACATAGCTAGCTGCCATGGAAAATCGTGCATCAGTAGAAAAGTTCCTTCTAGCTCTGGCCTTGTAGTGTCCAGCGCCCTCTATTGGCAAAGCCTAACATCACGCCTGCTCCCCCACAAGATGCCGAGTCTGTGGTGCTGCGGTGTCTCCAGTATGAAAGCAGGGCAAGGGGGGAGGGTTGATTTGGGGCTGAGAGGTAGTAAACTAGTAACTGACACATACTTATTTTATAATTTATTAAAAAATATAAAACTGTCTTTAGTGTCCTAAATAAGGACTTGAACACTTTAACTTTCCTCTGAACCAGTTTCATGTCCCTTCCTAAATGTCAGTAGTAGTACGTTAATATCACTATATTTGAACCCAATTCCTGCAGAAATTTTGGTTGCTTGTTTGTATTTTTTACACAATCAAGACTTTTAAGTTTTACTAACATATTTTATGTATTTCTTTGCTCATTGTTTCCCGTGTGCCACTTCTGCCTTAATGTTACATTTTCCTTCTTACTGAAATACATTTAGTGGCCTTTTTGCAGTTTGGTATTCCCATGTGCTTAATATATTTTTTAATTGTTTTTGTTCTATAATAATCTTTGCCTGTGAGCTTCCCTTTAATGGCCCCTAGTGGACAGTTTTGTGATTGCTTCTTTCAGGGCTTCCTATGGTTCCAGGTTCTAAATCAATTTCCACATCAGTTCCATGGTTTGGGGGTTTTCACACCAAGCCAATTGCGTGTTACTTCAGAACTTGTGCTCCTGTACGGCACATTAGCTGATTGTTGCCACCCTTGGTTGGCAACCACAGTGTTTTCTGATGACACGAAGCTTTTCAGGCTCCTTGTCCTGTCTGGTGTAGGTAAAAATTCTGGTCCCCTTCAGCGTTTAAACTCCCAACTCCCATATACTGCTGTTGAGTTCCTCTTTGGGCCATCACTATAACTTTACCTGTGTAACTTCTTAATCAACCACGTTTAAAATAAATTCATGCTTTAAGTAGGTTTTCTATATGTTTGGAAGGGACAAATACAGGTTTTCAATTATTTTGTCGGCTGTAATGATCAGTTGTTTTAGGGTTGCTAATATTCAGGATGGGTCATATGATGGTACTACCTTATACGTCTCTGGTACTTCACCATTTTTAAAGTGAACATCATGATGCCATTGTAAGGTAGACAGGACAGGCATCAGTTGCTCCATTTTGTTAGGAGAATTTGTTATTCAAAATAGAAATCTCAGCAGCAACTAATTTTGTTATGCATCTGCCATGTACTTAGCATAGTCTTGGATGATGGGAGTGAAAATTCAAGTAGTTTAAGTTCAATTGAAGAGTAAACAGAAACATTAAATACCACAGTACAAGTAGTAGATTAGCATGTGACCTTAGTAGATACCTAATTAACCTTTTTTTAAAAATTAAATATGACAAAGTAGAGAATCATTAAAATGAAAAATGCACAGTATTGATAGTATATCCTGTACTTGGATGTGGAAAGGCCGTCTCAGTGTTGACTGGCTTAATGGAGGAGCTGGGTTTGAGATAGGCCTTTAAGAGTGAGTAGGATTTGAGCACACATTCAGGCACGTCTTAAGTCAGATGGTTTGTAATTACTTGCCAAAGTTAAAAATCACCACTGAGGTTCTGGTAATTCATTAGGCATGAATACCCCATTTATTTTTGGATTTGAACAATTATCCAACCAAGAGAAAGTAGTTTTGTTTTTACATGTTTACTCTTCCTAATATTATCCAGTCATACAGTTAAATTTCACACAAAAATGTACATATTTATCTTCAAATGGCTATTATGATTTAAATTACAGAATATACATATGTACACATTTTAATATACAGGTGATAACAGTGCTCATCTTCAATTTCTGGGCTGTCCATCTGGAGTCAGCTCATACCTGTAAGACAGTTAGTTGGGTTTGGACTTGTGTTAGTAGTGAATGTGTGTTGTGCCAGCATCAGCCAGGTGGCCTAGGCCAGCTGCCAGGCGTCTGTGGGACGAGGGGAACCCACCTCTCTAAGATGGCTCATCAGGATCAAGGCTAGAACCTACAGAGGTGCTTTAGATGTGACCTCCAGGCAGTAAAGCCTTAAGTAAAGATGATAATCTGTCTCCCTCCTTGATAACCAAAGGAGCTGAAATGTACTGAAAAGGGAAGAACTTTGGAGAGAGAATATGGAGACACTGGGACAGTGTCTTGAGTGGCAGATTAACATGATAAAATTAAAGGAGTCACTTACCATTGTGAGAAACCCTTAATCAGATCTTCTTTTGATAAGTCAATCAGTACCTAAACAATCACAAACAATCAGTTTGTTTCCAAGCAGCTATATTAAATGGAAACTTACTGGAACAGAATTGATAATAAAAAGGCCCTCTTTGGGTTTTGGGGTTTTGAGCAGGGACGTTTTTCCTTTGGCCTGCAGCATGGAACCTCCCCAGAAGGACAGGAAATCAGTGTCTTGTGAATCACTCTTCGTAGTTAAATCGCAATAATTTAGTTACGAATGTTATAGAGAGAGAACAGCTTACCTTTCTCATTAACTGATGCATAATTTTAAGACAACATAGTTGTCTCAACTGTAAAAATTATATCACCTACTTTATAGAAGTAGGCTTTTAAAAAGTGAGTATAAGAAGGTGTTTATTAAAATACGTCAACTACAAAGTATTGTACAAATGTCATTCTTTTTTGTCTCTCCTTGTCATACTCCGGAGGATTTTATTTCCTCTACTTCTGCTTTAAGTAAAATCCCATCACCACAAAAATCTTGACATGATGAGATTCATGAGGCTTCAGACTTACTGTATTTATCAAAACAATACTTAATACCATAGTAGATGTTAAGGTATTTGTACCACAGTAGATGTTAAGGTATTTGTGCAATGATGAATTTGGATAGATTTTCGAGTTTGTTAAAATAGGGTTTATCCTGTTAACTTATACATCTATATTCTTTACTTTTAAGAATATTAAAAAAAAGACATACGCACAAAACAAAAATGACCTCCTTGAACTCAGTTCTGGTAACAGACAGATGATCCTGTAAGAATTTCTGCAAGACATGGTGTGTGTGGGGTCATGGTGAAGACAGTGGAACTCAGAGAAGACAAATAGTGGCATCTTACTACACTGATGGGCAGTGACTGCAATGGGGCATGGGGGAACTTGATAATAAGGGTCAATGTAATAAGCACATTGTTTTTCTTGTGAAACCTTCATAAGAGTGTTCAACGATACCTTAAAAAAAACATTTTTTGACAAATAAAAATTGTATATATTTGAAGTGTAAAAAAAAATTTCTGCAAGGGTTTGTTCCACCAATGAACTCTAGTTAAAGTACCAGGAGGGACAGAGTACTGAGAGTCCCTCTTGTACTTACTTTTCCTAGCTCCTTTCTTCTGTGTGAGCCAAGTGGCCTACTATTTTTCACTGCAACATCTAGTGACCTCTTCTTTACTTCTTCCATGGGAGCAAAAAATTCAAATCTTTAAGAAGCAAAAAGTCAGGAAATGAGATTTATATATTTAAATCATTTTTATTGAAAATCTACAGTGTTTTATCCATTTTCCTACTTTTAAAACAGAAGGTATAAACTATTGAAAGAAGCATCTAGAACAGTATTGGCTCATAGCAGATTTCAGTGCTTCACTATTACAGAGAATTGCTTGTCCCATGTTATTCACCAACCCTGGAAGTGTCAAGAGGCTGTTTGCCTGAGAAATGCCTCAGACTACATGCTTCAGAGTTTGCTTCCTACTTCCTCTGACTCTACCCTGGCTGTCACTCTTTCAGCTGCCCCTTCTCACTGTGAACAGTGCCTGCTCGTAGGAGCACCTCAATCCCTTTCTAGTTGTTTCTTCTGACCGGGTAAGGGCTAGGATACTGAATAGTTAGGTTTGTTAGAGTTGCGTGGAAAATGGTGGCTTCTTCCCTCTTATGCCTGTGAAGTAAGGCAGAGGAATCTTAGTATACAAGCTTTGACATGTACACGTAAGAGGCGTTCTAGGTTCTTCTAGGTTGTTTTTTTTTTTAATCTGTTTTTATCGAGGTGTAAGTGACAAAACATTATTAGTTTCAGGTACACACATAATGATTTGATATTTATATATATTGCAAAATGATGAACACAGTAAGTCCAGTTAATCACCATAGTCACAAAATTTGTAATGAGAATTTTCAAGATCCACCCTCCTAACTACTTTCAAATATGTAACACTGTATTAACTAGACACCATTCTATACATTATATTCCCATGATTTTTTCATTTTACAAGTGGAAATTTGTACCTTTTGACCCCCTTCATCCATTTCACCCCCCCCTCCCCCCGATACCCATGCATCAGGCAACCACCAATCTGTTCTGTAAATCCATGAGCTTGGTATTGTTTCTTGTTTGGTTGGTTTAGACTTCACATATAAGTGAGATCATATGGTAATTATCTTTTTCTGTCTTATTTATTTCACTTAGCATAATAACCTCACAATCCATCCATTTTGTTGCAAATGGCAAGATTTCTTTCCTTTTTATAGCCAAATAGTACTGTTTTGGTGTGTGTATATATGTATGTGTATGGCCAAATGCTACTCTAGTGTATGTGTGTGTGTGTATGTATATGCAATATTTTCTTTATTCATTCATCCAGCAGTGGACATTTAGGTTGTTTCCATGTCTTGGCTATTTTAAGTAATGCTGCAGAGAATATGGGTGTGGGATGTGTACTATCTTTTCAAATTAGTGTTTTCATTTTCTTCAGATAAATACCCAGAAATGGAATTGCTGGATCATGTTATTTCTATTTTTAGTTTTTTGAGGAACCTCCTTATAGTTTTCGGTAGTGGCTGTACCAGTGTACATTTCCACCAACAGATAGGGTTCCTTTTTCTCCATATCTTCCCCAATACTATTTCTTTTTGATGCTAGCTATTGTAACAGATGTTAAATTATACCTTGTTGTGGTTTTGATTTGCATTTCCTTGATGATTAGTGATGTTGAGCACCTTTTGTTGTAGCTGTTGGCCACCTTTATGATGTCTTTGGAAACTATTCAGATCCTCTGCCTACTTTTTAATCTTTTTTTGTTTTTGCTATTGAGTTGTATGAGTTTGTTACATATTTTGGCATTAACCCCTTAATCCAGATACCTGATTTGCAAATATTTGCAGCCATTCATTAGGTTGCCTTTTTTGATTTGTTGATGGTTTCCTGTGCTGTGCGGAAGTTTTTTAGTTTGATGGAGTCCTACTGGTTTGTATTTGTTTTTTTTGCTTTTAGTGTCAAATCCAAAAATCATTGCCAAGACCAATGTCAAGAAACTCACTGCTCATGTTTTCTTTTAGGATTTCTATGGTTTCAGATCTGATGACCAAGTCTTTTATCCACTTTGAGTTAATTTTTGTGTGTGTGTAAGATGTGGTTCAGTTTCATCCTTTTGCATGTGGCTGTCCATTTTTTCCAACATTATTTACTGAAGAGGCTCCTTTCCCCATTATATAAATTGTCATAAATTAATTGACCATTGTTGTAAATAAATTGACCATATATGTGTGGGTTTATTTCTGGGCTCTTCTGTTCCATTGATCTTTGTGTCTATTTTTTATGTCAATATTGGATTTCTATAGCTTTGTAATAAAGTTTGAAATCAGGAAGTGTGATGCCTCCACTTTGATCTTCTTTCTCAAGGTTGCCTTGGATTTTTCATGGTTCCATACAAATTATACGATTATTTTTTCTACTTCTGTGAAAAGTGTCATTAGAATTTTGATAGGGATTGCACTGAGTCTGTAGATTGCTTTGGGTAATAACAATATTAATTCTTCCAATACATAAGCATGGTATATCTCCCCATTTATTATCTGTGTCTTCTTGAGTTTCTTTCATTAATGTCTTATAGCTTCAAATATACAGATCTTTCACCACCTTGGTTAAATTTATACCTGGGTATTTTTTTCTCTTTGGTACAGTTGTAAATGGGATTGCCCTCTTTCCTTCTTTTTTTTTTAACTTTTTAAAAATTGATGTATCATTGATATACAATCTCATATTGGTTTTAAATATATAATACAGTGGTTCAGCAGTTACTCATATTATTAGATCCTTACCCCCATTAGTGTGGTTATATTCAGTCAGCATAGAAAGATATTACAGAATCATTGACTATATTTTCTATGCTGTATTACTGTTCCCATGACAACTTATGATTGAGAATTTCTGTGCCTCATTATCCCCCTCACCTTCCCCACTTACCCATCCCAGCTCTCCCTGATGGTAACCACCAGTGACTTCTCAGTGTCTGTGAATCTACTGCTGTTGTGTTCATTCTGTTTTGCCTTGTTTTTATATTCCACAAATAAGTGAAATCATATGGCATATGTCTTTCTTCATCTGGCTTATTTCACTGAGCATAATACCACTCTAGATCCATCCATGTTTTCATAAATGGCAGGATTTTTTTAATGGCCAAAAAACATTCCATTGTATGTATGTATGTACCGTATCTTCTATATCCATTCATCTATTGATGGGCACTTAGGTTGCTTCTGTATCTTGACTATTGAAAATAATGTGATGAAAACATAGGGGTGCATATATCGAATCACGAATTTTGATTTCTTCAGGTAAATTCCTAGAAATGGAATTACTGGGTTGAATGGTATTTCTATTTCTACTTTCTTGAGGAACCTCCATACTGCTTTCTACAGTAGTTATACCAATTTATATTTAAACTGTCAGTATATCACCAACAATGTATGAGGGTTTCCATTTCTCCACATCCTCACCAGCACTTGTTATTTCTTGTCTTTTTGGATGGTGGCCATGCTGACTGGTGTGAGGGGATATCTCCTTGTGGTTTTGATTTGCATTTCCCTGGTGATTAGCCTGTTGGCCATTTGCATTTCTTCTTTGGAGAAATGTCCTCCACCTGTTTTTTAATGACATTACTTGGGGTTTTTTGGTGTAGACATGTATGAGCTCTTTGTACATTTTGTATATTAAACCCTTATCAGATGAGTCATTTATAAATATATTCTCCCATACTGTAGGTAGCCTTTTTGTTCTGCTGATGGTGTCCTTTGCTGTATAGAAGCTTTTTAGTTTGATGTAGTCCCTTTTGTTCAGTTTTTATTGTTTCTCTTGCCTGAGGAGATGTGTACAGGAAAAAACTGCTCATACTTATGTTCAAGAGATTTTTGCTTATGTTTTCTCTGAGAGTTTTATGGTTTCACATCTTACATTTAGGTCTTTGATCCATTTCAAGTTTACTTTTGTGTTTGCAGTTAGACAGCAATCCAGTTTCATTCTCCTGCATGTAGCTCTCCAGTTTTCCCAACACCAGTTATTGAAGAGGCTATCTTTTCTCCATTGTATATTCACAGTTCCTTTCCCAAATAGTAATTGAGCACGTATACATGGGTTTATATCTGGGTTATCAATTCTATTCCCTTGATTTATGTGTCTGTTCTGTGCCAGTACCATACTGTTTTAATTACCATATCTCTGTAGAATAGCTTTAAGTCAGGAAGTGTGTAATATCCCCAGCTTTATTCTTCTTTATTAGGATTTCTTTTGCTATTTGGGATCTTTTGTGGTTCCATATGAATTTTAGAATTTATTCTAGCTTGTTGAAAATTGCTGTTGATATTTTAATAGGGATTGCACTGAATCTGCAAATTGCTTTAGGCAGGATGGTCATTTTGACAATATTAATTCTTCCTATCCATGAGCATGGGATAGATTTCATTTACTTGTGTCTTTCATTTTTCTCATGAGTGCCTTAGAATTTTCAGAGTACAGGCCTTTCACCTCCTTGGTTAGGTTTATTCCTAGGTATTTTTTTCTTTTTGATGCAATTGTAAATGGAACTGTTTTCCTGATTTTTCTTTCTGCTAGTTTGTTGTTAATACATAGAATGCAACAGATTTCTGTGTATTAATTTTGCATCCTGCAATCATGTCATCTGCAAATAGTGACAGTTTAACTTCTTCCTTACCAATTTGGATGCCTTTCATCTCTTTGTCTTGTTTGATTGCTGTGGGTAGGACCTCTAGTACTTTGTTGAATAAAAGTGGTGAGAGTGGACATCCTTGTCTTGTTCCCAGTCTTAGAGGAGAAGCTTTCAGCTTTTCACCATTAAGTGTGATATTATCTGTGGGTTTGTCAGATATGGCATTTATTATGTTGAGATGGTACCCTCTGATATCCACTTTGCTCAAGAGTTTTTATCATGAATGGATGTTGAATTTTGTCAAGTGCTTTTTCAACATCTATTGAGATCATGTGGTTTTATCTTTCTTTTTGTTAATGTGGTGTATGATATTGATTTACAAAAACTGTACCATCCTTGCATCCCTGGAATAAATCTTACTGGGTCATGATGGATGATCCTTTTGGTTTATTTTTTAATTTGCTAATATTTTACTGAGGATTTTTGCATCTGTGTTCATCAGGGTTATTGGTCTATAATATTTTTGTGGTGTCTTTGTCTAG